TGTCCGATCGGGACTGTGTCCGATAGAATCTGTGTCCGATTGCAACTTACCACCTTCTGTCATACCGACGAATTGTAGCGACACAACATGGGTTGCGTGGTGGGGTGGGAGAGGGGAAGGGGGTGGGGCGGGGGTGGGGCGGGAGGGGGTGGTGCGCGCGCAGCGCGCCGTGCTAAACGCACTTGCAACTTAAATATTAAAAACCATCGTTAAACATTTTTTGTTAATAACTTTTTAACGAGCAACGAGCGACGGCTAAAACCTTCTGAGGGTCACTCAGGAGGGTGACCTTGACCTTGACCTTGAAGGTCAAGGTCGTAGGAGCTGGGTCCCCTATTCGGCACTTTTACCGAAATTTTTCCGCTAGGATAGCGAAACTGGACTGTTTCAGACGGAATTATTGGTTTTGTTTTTGTTATATAACGCGGGAGAAAAAGATCAGGGAACAAGTAATGTGGCGATGAAGTTTTCCTAGTAGCACAGTGCATTGGCTAAATATCGATCCAATGTTGATTATATTGGAAATGCATTGGTCGATATTGTCCAACGTCAAGCCAATATTGGCTATGGAATAGATAGTAAATACACTGAAAAAAATATTTGTAAAATTACATGATTATGCTGGGTTTTTCCGACCCAGCATAATTATGCAATATTTACTACCCACATGGAAAATTGCAGACTTTTTTCTGTAATTTTGCATGAAAATTCAAGTGATTTTTACACAAAAATAGTAATTTCACCTATATTTTACCATTAATATGTATTTTCACTTTAAGAAATCTGGAAAAAAATTACAGTTATGTAGGAATTAAAAGTTCTATCATATACATATGTTTGTCAGATGTGTTTGCGTCCTCGCTACAGGTATTCCGTATGTATCGCTTTGTTTTCAAGACAAGATGCCCTTGTTATTGCGAGCGACGGTCGAAAGCGTTAAACTCAAACGTATCGGAGTTTAGCGTATCATAATCCAATTAGCCCACGTAAGCAGTGGCCAAGCCGTACCTCGGGGGCCGAAAAGACAGACGTTAGAATTCAAAGAAAAGGGATAGACGTGCGCCGGTTGGCTCCAACGTGCGAGTCGCGAATCTGTTGTAACATTAAAGCCTCCGCTACAATGATTCTCGGTTCTGTCTACAATGGTCGTAGTCGTAGTCGCTCGATAAGAATTGACCAATCGCAGTCGATTATTCTTACGACTACGACCATTGTAGACAGAACCGAGAATCATTGTAGCGGAGGCTTTAGTTATAGTAATGTTTAATATCATCCCATTTAATACTCTGTACTAAAAATTAAAAGTAGACGACAATATGAATGGCATATGCATACATTTGAGTGTAAAAATAATATTTTCAGGCTCTGGCAAGAAGCTGCAGATAATGAGAAGCGAAAAAGAAAATATCCTTGTCTCTTTGTACAGTCCGAACCAGTACGGTTTAGGAATCCTAATTTTATACTTAAAAGTCAAATGAGGAATCTAAATATTATACCAAGGATAGGATTTTGTTTTCTTTCCAAATATTTTATAGAAGCAGAAAGACGTAATTTATTATTACTTTATCTCTCTATCATATTCTGTATAGCAAGTATAAAAATTTTAGTGTTCTATTTAAAAGTAAATATTAATTAAATTTAGTAGCCTAAAACTACGTAATAAATACGGCTATACAATGTAGTAACGTTAAGTAATCCACAGAGTAAAAGATTTCATGAGTAGAATTATTATAAACAATTATTTTATTTAAAATAATTTTGACAAACTATACTTTAAAAGTTTGAGCACTTTTTAATATTATGTCTTATTAATTTTTCTCTACTAAAACCAAAGATTAATACAGGACCACGGAAATTTCTGTTTAAGTGTGTATAATAGATGTGCTGCCCGAACGTTGCGAGATTATATACCTCACTAGTTTATGCTGTTTTGGAAGCAATCGAGAAATACACAATCCTGAATGTTCCTATTCAGCATGTACATTTTTACCAGAAATCCCGAAGGTGCAGATAAAAACGTTCATGCTGAAATATTACAGGGATATAGAAATATCAGATATATATCAGGAAATACTAGGTAATTCGAGAGTCATCTGTATCACATCACGGGACATCTCTACATGTTTTATGTTATTCTCTCTTTCTCACAGCCGATGTTGTCCCGAAAACTTGGAATTGCGTTGGATGTCAGCCATACAGAACAAGTATAATTTTTCTTTAATCCAAGTAGTAATACACATTCAAGATTATTATTTGGATATGCCCAACAGTTGTATAACAATTGCTAATATTTGATAATACGTTAATTTGTGTTTGCATATATCTAGCAACCCAAGGAGAACAAAAAAGTCAAAATGATGTCAAAATATAATCAAATTTTAGTTCGTCAAAATGATGTCAAGTTGCATAAATTTTTTATGCTTTCTTGATGTCAAAATCGTGACATAATTTTGACATTAGTTTGACTATACGTAATATGATACCCAGGTAGAACATAAAACTTATAATGACGTCATTATGACTATCACAATTTTATTTATCACATAAAAGTTATCTGGACATATCTAGAAAACTTTTAAATGTTGAATAAAATCATGATAATGTCATAATGACGTCTTTATGAATTTTATGTTCTACCTGGAATAGAGACATGTAGATAGTAATATATAAACGTTATATTTGACTGTTTATGACATATTTATTACAATCATTACATCAATCACAAATATTAGTATATCAGAATTTTATCACATTTAAAATTACGAAACGTCTGATATTGCGACACATAATTTCTACGTTGACTTTTATTATTAACGATAGATATAAGATTAGATATAACTTGTGCAAAGTTTATAAGTCAATATTATACGCAATTTATATGTATACGTTACTGTAAACAGCATAGAATTTAGGGTATCACCTCTTATTGTTCCACGCTGTGTGATTAAAAGCTTTTATTTATCGTTAATAAAATTTGTGAATAAAAGTCAACATAGAAATTATGTGTCGCAATATCAGACGTTTCATAATTTTAAATGTGATAAAATTCTGATATACTAATGTTTGTGATAATGGTTGTGATTGATGTAATGATTGTAATAAATATGTCATAAGCAGTCAAATATAACGTTTATATATTACTATCTACATGTCTCTATTCCAGGTAGAACATAAAATTCATAAAGACGTCATTATGACATTATCATGATTTTATTCAACTTTTAAAAGTTTTCTAGATATGTCCAGATAACATTTATGTGATAAATAAAATTGTGATAGTCATAATGACGTCATTATGAGTTTTATGTTCTATCTGGGTTGGGATTATTGTTAGTCAAATCAAGACCTTTTTATGACTACTTTTTATATTATACATTTTTATAATAATAAGTAGTTATACAGTCAAGAAACGTATCACATTTTCTAAATATTAAGAAAAAAAATGTTTTTAAGAAGTCAATATAAAGTCATTTTTAAGTCATCTGAAATTAAGATTTTTAATCATGACCAAAAAATGACGTAAATTTGGTCAATTTGATGTCAAATTGATATTATTTTGACTTTTCTGTTCTCCTTGGGAAGGAAATCAAAATTGATTCTGTATGGGGCGGTTGCTTCAGGTGTACTTGGTATTCAACCAATCGAGCAAGTCGATATACTCGTATACCACATTGTATTGCTGTAATGATTACTGGCGCGATTAAGTCATGGTCTATAATTTTGAGTAAAGATTGCAAGACAGAGGATCGGATGGAGGCAAAGTTAACGTTATTTAAAGACAAAGTAAAGTTAAAGAAACACTCACTAGGATTTATGCTTATATCCAGGCCTTCTGCAGAACATATGGACTTTGATTCTGAGACGGTAGTAGAAGCTGCAATATTCAAAAAATTATTCCCTGAGGTACCCTTCGTAGGTTGCTGTAGTCAGGCCATTTGGAACTTGTTTAAACAACCTACCCTCGATGAAGAAAGTGAGTAATCTTGTTCTTCTCTTTTTGGTTAAAATTTATTTTTCCAACAGGACAACATGTAATTTTTGTTTTTAGTTCACAAAACAAAGTCGAAGATAATTTCAGTATACCTGAAAATTTGAAGTACACTAAAGATGGTACTACGTTTTTTATCCTTACGTATGACAACTGACGTTTTGAGAGAAACTATAGGCCTGTTCTTTATTACTGCACTACTGAACTAGTGCATTAAGTTAAAATGAAACAAATAGATTACCTCTCATTCCAACTCATTGCACCAGTGTGCACTAGTTCAGGAGTGCAGCAATAAAAAAACAGACCCTATGGGAGTACTATATGATATGAACATGTTTTATCCCACGCACGCATTCTTAGTCTTAGATATTGTGTTCACCGATCGTTTTCTTTGTTAACAAGACATTAAAGCAATTGTGCTCCAATATTCACAAATAAACCTGGAGATGAACGTCACAAAGCTAAATCCGAGTACAAGAATTTGTTGTTATTCTTAGCTGTAATTTGCAAACGCACGTTTTGTACCAGTTACATAATAATGTCACTGTAGATTAAGTAAATCAATTGTAATTTATTATAATATATACATTCGTTCCTGCATATACTTTTTATTTTCTTTTTTCGTATGTTATTTTTTCGAAGCATTTGTTTTAAATAATGCAAGTTGTATCAAGCAAGCGATCGTCTCTTAAGAGTGATCTGTATTTTGTTGAAAACACGCGCATCAAAATTGTAATAAAAATAATCCAATATATTAATTGAAAGTTGCTTCGTAACATTTGTAACAATACCTAGTCATTTAATCGGTTTCAACGCTGATTTACTGCTGATCGTAGGCGATATGTGAACAGGAAGTTGTACCCTACGCGATACAAATTTATATCCCCAAGCTCGATCCTAAATAAAATGCAGAAAAAACGTGTACGAATTTTCCGTTCTTATAAAAAAAGTTGTAAATTGATTGGGTAAAAGTCGAACGAATCGCCAATCACTTTGCAAGTTTTCTATACGAGCACATACTATTCTTTGCACATGATTCAGCATTCGAATCCCAGTCTTTTTGCATCGTGACAAAGCCTTTATTTTAATGTTAACGACATTATTGAGGGAAGAACCAATCGAAGCGATCAATTCGATGGGTCCAATTACAGCACACAGTTCATTTTCGAACAACTGCTGACAAGTTTAACGAAAACATTTGGCATACACAGCGCTCTTGTCGCTTTGATAGTGGTGTTGTATCGTAGTCTATTGTGGAATTCAACAAGCGTCGATTGAACCGATCAAAGAGGACAGATGGAGAATATAGGACCTCTGTCGGCTACAGAAAAAGTTCTAAAGTACTACTATCTTCTGAGAGATATACTTAAAAATTTAAGTTCCAAAGACTTAATGACAGCCGCGAAGGTTTGCAGGTACAACGTGAATAATCTTTTAGTGACCGACAGGCGATTCAATCTTAATCATTTATTATATGAAAACATTGCTGTTAGAACTTCTATAGCATGCTTATGTGAAGAAACACGAATTAGATTTGACGTACAAATCAGTTTTTTGTAGTAATACTTGACTTTTTCAAAAGTTAAAAGATAAAACTAATGAACGCTGTCTTTTGAAAGAAGGTTTTTGCTTGTAAGCTCTACCACTTTACAGTTCTTTCTTCTATTAACTTCTTATGCTTTCTCTCTTGCTTTATTGGCACGTTAGCTTATAGAGATAGAGTGTTACAAAGCATTTGACAGAATATACTTCTTATAGTAATGTTTAATATCATCCCATTTAGTACTCTGTATAAAAATTAAAAGTATACGACAATGTGAACTGCATACATAAATTTCAGTGTAAAAGTAATACTTTCAGGCACTGGCGAGAAGCTGCCGATAATGTGAAGCGAAGAAGAAAAGATCCTTGTCTCCTTGCATTCTCCCCAATAGCGTCTACTAGTTATAAAGCGCTGAAAGGTCAAATGGAGAATATAAGAATTTTACCAAGGATAGGATTTTGTTTTCTTCCCAAATGTCTTGCAACAACAGACGCCAGTAATTTATTATTACTTTATCTCTCTATCATATTCTGTGTAGCAAGTATACAAATTTTAGTGTTTTACTTAAAAGTAAATATTAATTAAATTTAGTAGCCTAAAAATACGCAATAAATAACATCTATACAATGTAATAACGTTAAGTAATCCACAGAGTAAAAGATTTCATAAGTAGTAGAATTATTGTAAACAATTATTTTATTTAAAATAATTTTGACAAACTATACTTTAAAAGTTTGAGCACTTTTTAATATTATGTCTTATTAATTTTTCTCTAAACTAAAACCAAAGATTAATACAGGACCACGGAAATTTCTGTTTAAGTGTGTGTAATAGATGTGCTACCCAAACGTTGCGAGATTATATACTTCACTGGTAGTACATATGGCATTGCAAGTATATATGGTATTGCAAGCAATCGAGAAATACACTGTATGACACATGTTGGTTCAACATATACATTTTTACCAGAACTCCCGAACATGAAAATAAAAATATTTATGCTGAATAACTGCAGCAACATAAAACAATCACATGAATATCAGGAAATACTTAAAACAATTTGTGAGACGTCTGTATCACGTCACGAGAGAACTACATGTTTTATGTTATTCTCTCCTTTTTCCAAGATTTTTTATACCAGAAACTTGATATTGCGTTGGATATCAGCCATACGAGAAAAGTATAACTTTATTTAATCCAAGTAGTAAAACAAACTCTTGATTATTATTTGTATACGCTTAACAGTTGTATAACAATTGGTAATATTTGATAATACACGTTAATTAATTTCTGTTTGCATATATCTAGCAAGGAAATCACAATTGATTCCGTATGGGGTGGTTGCTTCAACGGTGTTATGTATTCAACCAATCAAAGTACTTATACGCAACCTTGTACTGCTGTAATGATTACAGGCGCGATTAAGTCATGGTCTATAATTTTGAATAAAGATTGCAAGACAGAGGATCAGATCGAGGCAAAGTTAACGTTATTCAAAGACAAAGTAAAGTTAAAGAAACACTCACTAGGATTTATGCTTCTATCCAGGCCTTCTGAAGAAAGTATGGACCTTGATTCTGAAGAGGTAGCTGCAATATTCAAAGAATTATTCCCTGAAGTACCCTTGGTAGGTTACCGTAATCAGGCCATTTGGAACTTGTTTAAACCACCAACCATTGATGAAGAAAGTGAGTCATCTTTTACTTCTCTCTTTGGTGAAAATATTTTTTCCCAACAGGTCAACATATAATTTTTGTTTTTGTTTCACAAAACTAAGTGGAAGATAATTTGACTATATCTGACAATTTGGAGTACACTGAAGATGGTACTACGTTTTTCATCCTTACGTATGACGACTGATGTTTTGAGAGAAACTATGTGAGAGCATTATATGACATGACCATGTTTTATCACTCGCGCGCATTGTGAGTCTTGGATATTGTGTTCACCGATCGTTTTCTTTGTTAACAAGACATTAAAGCAATTGTGCTCCGATATTCACAAAAAATACCTGCAGATGAACGTCACAAAGCTAAATCCGAGTACAAAAATTTGTTGTTCTTAACTGTAATTTGCAAACGCACGTTTTACACCAATTTCAAAATGATGTCAGTGTAGAATAAGAATACCAATTGTACTTTATGATAATACATACATTCGTCTTGCATATGCTTTCTTATTTTAATTTTTCGTATGTTATTTTTCCAAAGCATTTGTTTTACATAATGCGAAATGTATCGGGCACGCGATCTTCTTCAGAAGGTAACCTGGCATTTTGTTAAAATCGCGCGTGTCAAAATTGTAATGCAAATAATCCATGGTACTAAATGGAAGTTGCTCTATAACATTTGTACCAACTTCTACTCATCTAATCGATTTCAACACTAATTTACCGCTGATAGCATAGTAAGACGGCTTGAAATCGTCCTGGACATAGTCTTGAGGCGATAAAAGAACTGTTAGGACATCCTGGATTGCTATTCGATGGTTCTGGGACGTTCTGTGCTACGTACACAGAATAAATTAAAGTTTGTTTAAATAAATTATCTTTTTCCTTCACATATAAATAATAATATAAATGCATAAAGCATAAATACATTGCAAATATTTAATTTTTAAATATATACCACTTACTTAAATCCTAAAAATGACAATTTCATATAATAACCCAGTGAGGAACTATTCGTCGGAACGATGTCTAATCGACACTAATTTGACGGTGTCGATATCAATTCGACATCGCTTCGACATCGTTTGACGAGTCATTTCTCGCTGGGAATAGTGTACCGTACGTGCATGCTTGAAATTTACAATAAACATTCTATCATAGAAAATGTTACATATGTATAATCGCTTGGAATAATCAAATTACATTAAATTAACTTATCAAATAATAATTTTCATTATAAACGTAATTATTATTATTTTTATCAATTTCAACATCGTTTATCTCTTCTTCTTCTTCTTCTTTTTCTTCTTCTGGTTATGGCGCCCAGCTTCCAGCACAAACTGACACGGCCAATCATTTATCTCGATTGACAATTTGACGCAGGCGCGACACTGTTGCCTGCTTACTTCCAAAGAAAACTTACAATAAATATATCCAATATACATATTATATAGTTACATATCATTACTTCATAGTGATAGTAAATTTAAATTGTATATTCGGAGAATGAGCGAATTCCAATCTGTCTGCCTGTTCGCGCCGAATCAGCAAGACTTCCTATTGGGCGGCGCCATTTTAGTCTCTATTTTGGCGCTGCCTGGCGCGTCGTGGTGCGCCAAGTGACGGAATTGAACCTAACCTCCAATTCGCTCTGCAGGTGAGATTGTCATCAACACCAATCGATCGCTATCGGTTATTCTTCAGCAGCGCGTACTCCGATCCTCCTCTGCCATGAGTCTACCTCGAGTATTGATTGTTAGTACGAAGGAGGGCAAGGCTAAGGAAATCGCGGAAAGTGAGTGGAAGGATAGACCCTCGCAATTCGTCACTTCGAAAGATTATACAGGAAAGTCCTCTGTTACGTGGTGAGATTCTAATACGAGATAGTAGTTTTTCGACGTCCAAATTCAATCGCAAATCTTTTATCGCAACGGTCTAACAATCAATTTTCCACTAAACCGATTTCAGGAGCAACAAATTCCTGGTGGAACCAACAGATGATGCCTGTTAATTTAGCAGAAACTCCGCTATCTCATATTGGGAGCCTACCTCGTCATAGAGGACTCGCCTCTACTGCTCTCTGTAATTTTATCTCACGCACGTTTCTGACGCAGGCATAAGGGCGGAGTATCTGTCCGAGGAGGACAAGATTGCAGACTACCTGTGGAACATCGACAACAAGTATTATACGTCGCAGGTCTTGGTACGCGCCGCAGAAAGCTTGGCCCACAAACTCACGGAGGACGAAGTCGAGGCGTTGATCGTGCACCACGATCCGCAGGCAGTAAGAGACATGATGGGAATTTTGCAATTTAAGCGACGCATGTTGATGGCAATTGGTTTCAGCAGGACGAAGAGCTAGATCGGGAGTTAGAGCGATTGGCGTCCCTGGCCACTTCATTGACAGCAGCGGAGGTGCTGTTGTTCACCTGCGGCGCGATAACCGACTCGCTTGTGCGAGACAAAGGTGCAGCGGGATAAGAGAGAACGTTAACGTGCGAGGGCATCGTTTATTCCCGTATCGCGCACGCAGAGTCAACCCAGATAGTCAAATCCGTTGGAACAGATTTCACCAAAAGCCCACTACAAATTTTGAAGGCAGAAAGATTGCAGATTGCGTACGGGAACTGATACATTTGACAGGGTTGGGAAAGTACTTTATAAAGGTAACTAGTTACAGTAAGTCCCAGTCTACAATAGAGATTTAAGCCCTAAGCCTTAAGAAATTGACTAATGGCAGTCGCGCATTCTACTCATACTTGACCGTGATTGGCCAATTTCTTAAAGCTTAGGGCTTAAATCATCTATTGTAGACTGGGACTTACAGTTTTTTCGCTAACAATGTAACTAGTTACAGTCACAAGTTACCAATTCTGCAAAGTAACGCGTTACAGTTACAGTTACTCGAAAAGTATCGAATCGTTACTTTGCAGTTACTCCCTTGCAATAGAAATAAAAAAAATATCGAATCTGCATCTGAATTGTAAAGCGGCGACCTTAGCGGAAAAAATTTCTATAAATAACTACAAAAAATTGACTTGAAATAGAAATTTGTAGAAATTTTTATATCTTCGTTGAAACATTTATTTCTTTGTAAAAATATCTATAAAATAGTATCACAAATTACAATGTTCTCAAATCAAGAAATTATTGCAAGTAGTATTTCATGAAAATGTACAATTTTGTAAAAATTAATACAAAACTTTACTAGTTTTAAAATTTTCAGAAACAACGAAATCTTAAAGAATTAAAACATCTGCTTACTTGTAGAATATTACAAAAATTAACAAAAGTGTTCCAATTCTAGCATTTTTATGTTGATTTTTATAAACACTTTAAATTTACGTAGAATTTCTTAGATTCTGGCAGTTATATTTAAATTTTTTGTAGAATTATTTCCGGCAGGAGATAAAGGCGTTTGTGCGCAAATGCAAGGCCTAATGCGATCTGTGGAGGTTGAAAATATATGTATATAAAGTAACTATTAATGTAATTATTAAATTAGCTACTAGTTATCGAAAAAATGTAACTGAGTTAAGTTACAGTTACAGATGTAGAGAAAGTAACAAAGTTAAGTTAGAGTTACCAAAAAGAAGTAACTGCAACTGTAACTTCGTTACAAGTAACGAGTTACTTCCCAACCCTGACATTTGACACGCCGCCAGCGTGTCAGCAGAAATACAACAAAATCTGCTCGCATACGTTCGATTTCTGTTGACGGCGTGTGTTTTACAGACTGTCGCCAAAACGAAAGCCAAATGCTGACACAGATGGCTATGGTTTTGGCGTGGGTCACTGATGGAACCTGCTGCCAATCCGACGCCGATCTGCTAACATTTTGCTCACCGGGAATGTATTTCTTGTATATTTTAGTGTTGAATTGGTGTTTGCACAACAAGTTTGAACTGGTCGAGCTGGAGCAGACGGGAGATACGGAATGCGACGCGGAGGGTAACAAATACGGCATCGAGAGGGTCATTGAAGCTCTGCACGCTCACATGTGGCCCAACATCGTGCTTAAAGGTTGCTGAAACGAAATTTCGCTATTAAAACAAAAGCCTCTTCCCGCGTGGACGTGGATCAAATTGCCGTTTTCGTTACAGACAAGTCGTGTACGGGGCAAATGCTGAAAGTGAACGAAATTGAGGAACAGTTTGAAAACATCCGGTTGACACGTGACCCTTCGGAAACTCTGCGTATGCAGGATATGCTCGGTTAGTGTGGATCGATGTAGACGAACGACGGTAAAAGAATTTGCCATCGCTTATTTCATCGCGTCTTAAATTTACAGACGGTATCATGGGCGAAGAAAACGCGGACTTCGGAGAACTGTACGGCCAGTTGATTGCCATGAAGGAACACGCGGCGTCCTTGCCGACAAACGAGAGGCGTCTGGTGGCGGAGCAAGTGGTCACCGCTTTTTGGAAGGCCATGGGTGGCGATCTTCTAGAGATCGAGGATTAAATTTAAGACTCGATGTGCCGTGTAGACTAATCATTTACTTGGATTTCTCGATTCTGAATAGATTTGAGGTAGAAGTTCGGGGTAATAGGACAGCTTACGCAAAGACTGTGGTGCGTACTCGAGGTAAGTGTGTACGAAGGATGTGTAAGAGAAAGTAGGACGTTTAAAGTTCTGTAGAAGTAAAATGTGTATAGTGTTTCATGTATAATACGAAGATAGATTATTTTACGTAGATTATTTTTTGTACATACGACAAAAGGCGCTTGTCTTTTAAACAAAAATATAATTTCAGTCGTTAATCTTATTCAGAGAGCTATGTATATACAACACTGTGTATTTCCCAATAAAACAATTTTATTTAAGAACAAGCGCGAAAGGCTATCGAGTTTTTTTTAGTAACGACAGCGAATATTCATGAGCAAACAGAAAGAGTGAGGTAAGAAACGTCGCGATGTTTCAAGATTTTTTCATTGGAACAAGCAGCACCACTTGTGGACCTTGTATTAGCACGTACAAAGCGAGGCTTGTGCGTTCTAGTTTTTATGAATAAATAATAAAAGTCCATCTTACGTGAGCGAAGAACGGCACAGCACAACGAAATTGTACGGTCCTCAGTTGCGTTTTCGAGTTTAGATAAAAATACTGCGACAGTTTCACATCCTTCGAATATTACTGTACCGAATGTAGAGCGCATTTTAATTAGGGTTGTAACGAAAGTGGTTATAACGAAAGCGAATGCGAATGCGAAAGATCTTGTTTCTTTCTACTGAATGATATAATTGACAGTTAGGAAAAATATTATGTAATTAATAATCTAATAATAATAAAAAATATTTCTAATTCAAATTATTGAATGAGAAATGCAAATTAGTAAATTAGTAACTTATTTATTTTAATTATAATCATATAAAATACATTATTGCAATGTAACACAGAACAGGAACGGAGATATCACTTTCTAATAAAACAAAATAAACATTTTCTATCATTTCAGAATAAAATAAAGCTCTAAAGTATTGTAGGTTAGGTTACAGTTCTACGTGCGGGCCGGACAAAATCTTTCGCTAAAACTTTCGCATAATTAGTTGCGAAAGCGAAAGCGAAAGCAAGAGTCTAAAATGATGCGAAAGTCTCGCTTTCGCATATGCGAAAGCGAATATTCGTTACAACCCTAATTTTAATAACAGTCATGATGGTCTAGAACACTTTGTCGCATGAAGATTTAAGTAACGCAAAAATTAATAAAAATACTTTCAAATACATGTAACTATGGATTAGATACCCTATTATTTTAAAATAGGAACAGCTAGAGTAACAAACGTCGCGATGTCTCTCATTTCGATTATAGGAAGAGGAGGAAAAAGTTTATTACAACTGGAACTTTCTTTTGTATTAGAGAAAAATCCCCAATTATGAGATAGCCGGAGTTTCTGCTAAATAAATGAACATCGTCTTGTTGATTCCACCATGAATTTATTGCCTCTTTCGAGTGAAATCTGTTTAGCGAAAAATCGATTGTTACATCGTGTGCTCGTTGCGGAAAAAGGATTTGTGATTGAATTTGGACGTAAAAACCTACTGTCTCGTATTAGACTCCTATCTCGATAATAGAGGACTTTCCCTCTACGTTCACTTCAAATATTCAAATCAAGTTGTCGATTTGGGCCATTAGTCCCAATCTACGATAGATGATTTAAGCCCTAAGCTTTAAGAAATTGACCAATCACGGTCAATTTTGATTCTTCAACATCAAATCTCGATTCTTCAACATCGAATTTTGATTCTTCAACATCGAATTTTGATTCTCCAACATCGAATCTTGATTCTTCAACATCAAATTTTGATTCCACAACATCGAATTTTGATTCCTCAACATCAAATCTTGATTCTTCAGCATCGAATCTTGATTCTTCAGCATCGAATTTTGATTT